CCTGCTCTCACTGAAACCTATGTCACAGTGCTAGCCAGAAAACATCTCAGCATTTTAGCTCAAATTTTACTGTAGGGCGTAGGGAGTGTCTGGAACCACTGCCATCACAGTAGCTACAAAGCCATGCACAGTGGAATCAAGACTTGATGGAGGCTCTAGAGACCAAATGAAACACAAACAAGTTGCTTTTAAATTTACTCTGAGTTTGTCTCTATTGTGATTTTTAAAATTTCTATTGTACACATCCTTGTAGTTGAGTGACTTTTCATTTTCTCAGAAAGAATCAGGGGAAAAAAGTATCTATAAAAGCAGAATTTTTTTGTTTGAATTTGAGAAAATAGCACATAATTGAAAATAACAGTGTAATCACTGCTGTCAGCTCACTACAACTCCATCATTCGTAGCTTCCTTTCAAATTAGGAAAATTTCAAATGTCACCAAGAGGGAAAAAATCCACAGGAATCTAGTATGCATTAATTATATAGTTTCCAACTGACAGTCAGTCATTATTTTAGAACACTATGGTCTCCTCATATTTCCACACGACAGATCTGAAATTCAAAGAGTATTTAAAAACAGGCTTTGGCATTTCAACATTCTGGTCAAAATACAGTTCTGACTCAGAATGAGGTATGTACTTGCATAAGGATCTACGCCATGTGCCTTATGGGACAAAAGGCTTATGAAGCAAAGCAGTGCAATTCTTTCCCACCATTCAAAAATACACTGTAGATTTGTAATTGTTATCTAGAAATCCTGTACTATAAATCCCTAGCATCATTTAGGTTCCACTGTGACCTGGTGTAGGTTCAAATAATATATAAGACAGTAATATTTCCTTCCTGAAATGATTAACAACTTTTCTCAAACAACGACAGAAACAGAACTATTTTTTTAAAACAGTGCCATCATTAAATCCTACAGACATCTGTCACCATAAGCAATTCCAACCTATGCAGATCTCTCCACACACTGACCTAGTGTTTTTAAATCATTAATTTTTATTCCACAAGAAGTTACATCATGAGTAGAATACAGATAACAAAGAGCAAACAAGGTGCTTCTAGAGTTCTACCTCTGCACTTCAGCTGAGAGCTGGGGGAAAAAATATACAAGAATCTAATGTTTAATGTTATGCTATTAATTTAAGAAATCATATCAGTAACAACTGAAATAAAATATAAACAAACTTTGTTAATTGAGGATCTTTGATTATTAAAAATGTCCATACTAAAAGAAATTAAAAAGACTTTTTAAAATACAGCTGGAGTCATCACTTTGTTCATTAGTAATTTTCCATGTCTTCCACAAAAATGAAACAAAAAACTGAAAATAAGTTCAGTGAAGTTAGTTTCACTTTCACTACAGTGCTAATTCATCTGCATTGCAAATTCCTGAAAAGGAAGATTCTTTTAAAACCACCTCATACTGTATTATAATTTTAAAATAGTCTCTTTTAAATAGTCTTGACATTTATAAAAGCATGTTTTACATATCTCAAGTGATACTGTAAATTTGACCTATTATTATTCAGGAGGCATGGCGACGTTCCACCCTGAAGAAGTATGTTCACTGTATGGGACACACAGGATGGGGTGGGAACCACCCAGGTGAAGAGCATCTGTTTCAGCCCACTGCACAGTTAGGTTGGGTTAGCTCAAATTGAACTGCACCCCAAACCAACTCTTCAGACGCACCTCTTTTTTTCCTGCCTGACACACCACAGAAATTCTGCAGCCGCCGCCTTTTAGACAACAACTGCTGTCCTGCATAAAAAGTCCATGAGTAATTCACGATGTTCCTGTATTGAACTCCAATAACAGTATTCATTTTTGGAAGCTACTTTACTTCACCAGTCAAAAAATATGTTTTGCCAGTTATAATTAAAATTAAATCTGAAAATAACTTTTGAAGAACCTCATAAAACAGGGAATCATGTTTTAAAGGTGACAAGCACCCTCAAAAATTGTTATTAAAAAACCCAAATTAACTTACCACATTGTAAATAAAACACAGTATTTATACCCTCAAACAAATATACAACTACTGCAAATAGTCCAAATGAATCAGCAGACTTTTGAAAGGAGATATGGAGGTAAAAGTCCAAACACTGACAACGCCACCTGTATTTTTACACTTATGTACAACGCAATATTAAAATGCTACGGTAATGTTCTGAAAGGATCAGTCAACAAGGATGGTCTTTTCAAGAACATTAATTTTGCAACCCAGAATTATAACAAAAATAAGTGATACTTAAAGACTGCTCTTTTGGCAAAAGGTTTGGCTGGACTGAAGTGCCTCTCAACAGCATCCGCAATTCAGACCACCATAACACACATGAACATAAGAAGCAAACAGTGTGAAAACAAACCTGAAGGTCTCTGCTTTTATCATTCAAAAATGCCATAAAAGCTAGTAAGCACACTAATTTCAGTACCTTTCTAACTGCCACAATGCCACAAGTCCCCAGCTGTATTTCTATCATTGTGCCTATACTGATAGGACTTAGTAAGGTCAGCTCCTTGTGAGGCCCAAGGCAGCACTACTGACTTACACGGTGATGTCAGACAAGGTATCCACACACATGACCCGTAACCAACACAGTTACTGTCTGCAGCTGGAGTTAAATGAGCAAAACCATACTTTTAATAGTCAGTTTTGCTGATCATTTATTTTGATCTGCATCAGGAAGACTCTGCTGGCATCTTTAGCACTCACTAGCTCCTCAAACTGGAGTCCCTGCATTCATCCTGGGAGGGCTTTGCTAAGGTAGCTATACAGGTGCAACAACATTGTGGAAACTCCCCCAAATTGCGTAGAGTTATTCTTAGTATTAAGCAGCCTGCATACAGATTCTACCAGTATTTCCAAGTTGTGCTTTATTCCACCAAATCAATCAAAATCAGCAGGACTAAGCAGACAGGTAACTAACAGAGCATGGCAGAGGTGCAGGGTTGGAACTACACACTGAATCTTTCTAAGATTCTACACATTTGGGAGGGAAAGGGGGTTTGTCAAAGAACAATTTCATTTTTTTTTCCATGTGTACAAAAAACTGAAAGGAAACATTTTACAGTTCAGCCTTCTGTAAAACCGAAGCCTACAGGTATGAGAAACATGATCACAAGGAGCCTGTGACGTAAGCAGAACCCACGTAAACACTTGCCACACCAATCTCTGCTGCAGTACATTTACATATAAGTTCAGGTTAACTGCATTTTTAGAAGTAGTTCTTAGTACTGCTTAAATAAATTCTTCCATTAGCACTGTACATAGTTTCTGAAAATAAGCAGCTATTTCAAGGGCATTCTACGTCTGTATCACAACATCCAAAGCTGCAACTAGCTGATATGCATTGATGCAGCACAAACACTTCAGTGTACCAGTGTAAAATCATGAAATCTGTGGACCAGTCAGTTATCAATCTGATCATGAAATACAATCTTTGTGTTGGACAGAATGAAGGTTATGCATCAATTTCAGTTTCCACTTCCTTTACCTTTTAATATTTGCCCTTGAAAAAGTATACCTGTATAACATTAACAAATTTGTCCCCTATAATTAAAATAGATAGAATTCTGCTGAAGTTTCATGAAGAAATCAGTATGTGTAAAAAGAAATTATTATAATTGTTTACTTCTATAGAATGAAACATGTTCTGCAAGTAACACTATTAGCAAGTCAGTGCCAAAAGTTGCAAAGCACCCGAAGGGTACAGCTTAGGACCAGGGCATGTTCTGTCAATTCCTACTTCAACCAGGGAATATTTATTGTATTTTTGACTTGTGCAATGCCACTGAATGTAGCCTAATGAACAGAAATGTCCTAAGATAAACAGACGGTGATTCAAATTAAAAGCTGCACAATTTAAATGCAGTTCCGTCACACATTCTCTTTAATAAATTATATAAGGGAATACACCAAAATGCAAACTTCACTGTGATTTTATTATCACATAGTGCAGTATTTTAACTCAGTTTCCCAACAGTACTGCCAAGCCTTAAAAGTTTCAGAGAACCAGACGTGCTTACAGTGCACAGTAACAAAACTTAAGACTTATTTTTGCCCCCATTAAGATTCAAAAATACTAATGAAAACATTCGATGGCTTCCCACACAGTCACGTCCAATGACAACATGAGGAATTGGTATTTTGGCAGCGAGTTAAATTGAGCCTTACAAATCAGGCCACTTCTAAAAACACTTTGTCCTTCCTCGTGTTCTTCGGTAGTTCTATGCCCTTCAGTGCTTGCCTAAACATTTGATTACCCTGTCCAATCAGCAAGACCTAAATAAGCCGTTTCGCTGCTTTTCCATCAATAAGCACAAGGAGATCCAATAGTCTGGTACAGCAGACAATTAACTGCTCCTCACCCTCACCCTGCACGCGACAAATTGACTGAACGTAAACTTGACGGCCAAAAGCTAAACCCGTGACCCGGCAACCCTCACTGACGTGGAGGAAGCCTCCCCCAGCGATTTGCATTGATCTCCGGTTGTATAAGGCTGCTCCCCGCCACCCCTCCAGCGAGGGGGGCCCACGCAAGACTCCCCCCTTGCAGAGCAATGGCAAGAGGTCTCGGAGCCCTCCCCTCCGTCACCCCGGGAGCCCCAGGGACGAACAGCCCGGGAGGTGCCACCAGCCACAACAAACCGGGTGGCTCGCGGGGGGGAGGGGGGGGGGACACGAGCTACGGAGACATTTCCTCGCCTCCCACAATTCTGACTACGCTGCCAGCCCGGGAGGGGGTGTGTGGCCTGATTAAAAACAACAACAACAAAAAAAAAAACCCACCAAAACCCCACAGAGCCAGGGAGATCAGAGATAAACACATCATCAGGAGGGGAGGGTTCCTGTCCCTCTGTGAAACCTTAGTCATAGCTGCTCCCATTTTTGAAGGCCCAACGGTAAAAACAGCGATAATAGCAGAAGGCAAGGCAGGCGGGGGGCGAGGGAAACAGACACGACCGCGGAGACAGACAGGCGCCGTTCCTTACCTTCCTACTCGCTCCTCCGAGAGACACCTTGGGCCTTGTTTTGAAATCCCCTTCAAAGCTAAACATGTTTACAGCTTATCCCATCTAGAGCGGGGTCCGGCCCCCCGAGCTGACCCCGCAAAGGGGGCGCCGGCCGGCCG